CCAAGTGCCATAAGACCACAAATAAGAAGAAGAAGAGAGGCGGGAGCGTTCGTAACAAACCCAAAGCGATAGTCAAAACATTAAGCATGACATGAAGTTATCCTAGTGGCTCTAATAAGAGAAAGAAGCAGCATGCTTCATAAAAGTTTTTATTTTCACTTCTGAAAGTGATGTTGTTTCTCGATGTAAACATCAAAAGGAAGCAGAAAGGAAAGACAATGGAAAATGTTTAAAAGGAGGAAAACATGGACCAAAATGGAAAATAGAAAAAAAAAAATAAATAAACAAAGGCAAAAGCACAGGAGCACTGAAAGGAAAAAGAAAGCAGAGCAAATATCGAAAGCGCTCAAAGGGAGGGAAATACAGGGAAAAGGAGGAGGACTAGTAAAAAGGGAAAATAACTCATGTCAGAAGAGGGGAGAGTTTCGCAAATCCAGTTAAAGGTAAGATTGTCAAAAATTTTGTGTAAGGGGCCCCATGTCTGTGTTTGCCTTGGGCCCCCAAATTGCTAAATCCACCACTGCTCCTCACACTAAGAGATTTACATGAATCTAGGCCTACAGATTATCAGCGACACACGAGAAATAACCCAGAAGACCCTAGGGGGTCTGATATAAGCAATCACACACAGCTAATTGAATGTTTCCATTAGATAAATCTTGTTCCCCATTGCACAGAAAAGTGAAACCAATCACAGAAGCTGCATGAGATTTAGAATATGTTAAAATGTTGAAACATCTTTAATTTTTAGCAGGGTGAGTCACTTATTGTGGCAACGGTTCAGCTTTTTTATTAAACTATATGAATTTTTTAAATACTGAACACTCTATAAATCCTAAAATATGAAATAATATTTAAAAAATCGGTGTTAAACTCCACTATTTTGTCAAATATACAACAACTACTGTATATAATAATCAAATTGAATTGATAATTATCTTACATTATTTTATTAAGGAATAAAATTGGCCCTTCCCATTTGTAGATCCTCCATCAGAGGGCAGTAGACATGTATAGGACTACGTTTGGCAGGTTTCAGATGAAGGTATGTCACGAGCGTGTGGCGAGGTGAGCTGAGGTGAGGCAAGGATCCACACGCGGGGAGGAAAACAGGCAGGCAGGTGAGAACTTCTAACATTGATTTATTAGAGTCACACGCTGGAACACTGAAACAATGACACGACAGGGAACACAGAACAGAAGGGGTTTAAATACAAGAGGAGCGGGAGCTATGGTGATTGGGAAACAAGAGGCAGGTGGGAGCAATTAACGGAGAACAGACAAAACCTAAGAGTAGACAGGACAGGGCGTGACAGTACACCCCCCTCAAAGGGCGGATCCCAGACGCCCACAGGAACAAGGAGCAGGGCGGGAGGAGGGGGACCCGGAGGGAGGGCCCAGAGGAACTGAGGGACCACAGGAGAGGCGGCAGGGATCAGCAGAGTCAGGAGGCCTGCGCCTGCTGCAGATGAGGAGGCGACGGGCCCTTGGAGGTCGGCGCCTGCTGCAGATGAGGAGGCGACGGGCCCTTGGAGGCCGGCGCCTGGGGCAGATGAGGAGACGAGGACGAACCCCAGGGGGCCTGCGTCTGGGGCAGATGAGGAGGCGACAGTCCCTTGGAGGCCGGCGCCTGGGGCAGATGAGGAGGCGAGGACAGGCCCTTGGAGGCCTGTGCCAGGGGCAGATGAGGAGATGGGGACGGACCCTTGGGGGCCTGCGCCTGGGGCAGAAGAGGAGGCGACGGGCCCTGGGAGGGTGGCGCCTGCGGTAGAGGAGCCCTGCAGGCTGGGCCGGGGACACAGGCAGGACCGGTGACAAAGTCCCTGCAGGCTGGACCGGAGCGACCTTCAGAGTCACCATCAGAACCGGACATGGAGGAGACGTCAGACCAGACGCGACGTCATCGGACGAGCCGACTTCAGGAGTGGAGGCGGCGACGCCATCGGACGAGCCGACTTCAGGAGTGGAGGCGGCGACGTCATCGGACGAGCCGACTTCAGGAGTGGAGGCGGCGACGTCATCGGACGAGCCGACTTCAGGATTGGAGGCGGCGACGTCATCGGACGAGCCGACTTCAGGAGTGGAGGCGGCGACGCCATCGGACGAGCCGACTTCAGGAGTGGAGGCGGCGACGCCATCGGACGAGCCGACTTCAGGAGTGGAGGCGGCGACTCCATCGGACGAGCCGACTTCAGGAGTGGAGGCGGCGACGCCATCGGACGAGCCGACTTCAGGAGTGGAGGCGGCGACGCCATCGGACGAGCCGACTTCAGGAGTGGAGGCGGCGACGCCATCTGACGAGCCGACTTCAGGAGTGGAGGCGGCGACGCCATCTGACGAGCCGACTTCAGGAGTGGAGGCGGCGACGCCATCAGACGAGCCGACTTCAGGAGTGGAGGCGGCGACGCCATCAGACGAGCCGACTTCAGGAGTGGAGACGTCGACCCTTGGATTGGAGGCGTCGACCCTTGGATTGGAGGCGTCGACCCTTGGATTGGAGGCGTCGACCCTTGGATTGGAGGCGTCGACCCTTGGAATGGAGGCGTCGACCCTTGGATTGGAGGCGTCGACCCTTGGATTGGAGGCGTCGACCCTTGGAATGGAGGCGTCGACCCTTGGAATGGAGGCGTCGACCCTTGGAATGGAGGCGTCGACCCTTGGAATGGAGGCGTCGACCCTTGGAATGGAGGCGTCGACCCTTGGAATGGAGGCGGTGTTGACTTTCATCCGCTTCTGGTCCTCTGGCTTCTGGACCGCCGGTCCCCGAACCGCTGACCTCTGGGCTGGTAACGTCTGCTTCTGGGCCTGCACCAGACCCATCTGCTTCTGGGCTGGTACCGTCTGCTTCTGGGCCCGCATTGTCTGCTTCTGGGCCGGAACCAGAACCGTCTGCTTCTGGGCCTGCACCGTCTGCTTCTGGACCCCCCCCCTGGAACAGGCCTTGAGTGAACGAGCAGTGCTAGTGCTGAAGACAGGGAGCGCAGAGCGTCGAGTCGGAGCTGATTAGAATGGGCGCTCTGTTGAAGCCGGACCAGCTCAGCCCGTTGACTGGCCAGTTCAGTTGGCTGGACTGTGGGTGTGGCTCCACCTCCCACAGATGACAGAGGAGCCGAGTGGACCGGAGGCGGGACAGCTGGTTCAGCCGGAGCCGCGAACAGTTCGTCCAGCTGGAGCTCAGCGAGCAGGTGGTCCAGCTGGAGCTCAGCGAGCAGATCGTCCAGCTGGAGCCCGCGGAGTTCAGCGAGCAGATCATCTAGCTGGAGGACTTGGAGTTCGATGGTCTGACGAACCTGGGCTGTTTCAACCTGTAGACTGGCGTGCTCCGCCCACATGGCTGCGAGCGCAGCTCCTCCTCCTGCAGACGCTGATTCGGCCGGAGACGGGACAGCTGGTCTGACCGGGGGCGTGTCCGAACTGGCTCGCCGAGCACGGCCAGCGGTGGGCTCGCAGCTCCGTCCTGAAGCGCAGGGCTGCGGTGGATTCCGGCGTCTCTCCCCACGCCGTGGACCAACCCCGGGGGAGCAGAAAGCCAGCCTCGTGCCCTCGAAGCTGGAGCGATCCCGGAGCATCTCTCCCTCCAACGTCCCATCCGGTTCCGGAAGGGCGGCGAGGAACGCCGAGGCAGAAGGTCGGGGACGCCGTCTGCGGCGAGGCGGAGCTGGAGCTGGGGAAGGAGAAGCCGGTCGATAGTCGGCGGAGAAGAACTGGAATAAATACTTCCATGGGAGGATCTCCCCGCTGGACCCTTCAGGTGGTCGTGTCATTCTGTCACGAGCGTGTGGTGAGGTGAGCTGAGGTGAGGCAAGGATCCACACGCGGGGAGGAAAACAGGCAGGCAGGTGAGAACTTCTAACATTGATTTATTAGAGTCACACGCTGGAACACTGAAACAATGACACGACAGGGAACACAGAACAGAAGGGGTTTAAATACAAGAGGAGCGGGAGCTATGGTGATTGGGAAACAAGAGGCAGGTGGGAGCAATTAACGGAGAACAGACAAAACCTAAGAGTAGACAGGACAGGGCGTGACAAGGTACTAATCCTGATACTCCATCTGGTGGCTTTAAGGTCGGAAGTGGTTTAATTTGAATTTGCGATCGTAGTGGGTTAAGTATACTAAATCAAAGTTATCCATGTCTTCTTGTCTAGTCCTTTTAAGAAGATAAATGGTCTACCTCCTGGCTGCAGCCCCTTGTTTTGCAGCCTGATAAAATAGTGACATCAGCTTATGACGCTTATGGAAGGTATGATTGATTATATTTTCTAAACGATCAAACTATTAATTTAATCATTGCAAAGTGCATCTATACGTATGTCCACATTTTAAAACATTTTCCCTTTCAGGCCCATATCTGAGCCAAAAAAGCTGATGACCAAGCAGTATAAATATTACCGCATGTTTCATCATGATGAGGTTCCTCTCCACTAGACGTGTCTGATGTTTCTAATTAGCTAACATGGTCTAATGGAAAAGTTATGACCTTTTTACATCCCTTCCAAACAACCTTTAAGTGTGCCAGAACATTTTCTGCATTGCTTCAATCCTTCGGTCACCAGGATGGCTCAATAAAGTCAAAGATTGTTTAAAGTGCTTAACACCACTTTCATTAATTAGCCCTCCCTCTGCAGCTGGAGCTGTGATAATGAGAGGCATTAGCCTGTGTAGAGGTATTTGAAAGGAAATCTGCAGACTTGTAGGGACTGAAATATCCTGATGATAAACTGGAAGATGTGATGAAAACAGTATTAGACTTCTGCAGCATGGAGGGAACGCAACGGCAGTGTCGGGTTAATCACCTCGGAAAAATCCCAGCAGGATTTATTCTGTTTGTGAAAGCAACCCAAAAAGGAGAGATGAGTCGTTGTGTGCATACTTCTGCACATACGGTCTAAAAATACAACTCCTCTCACTCCCTGTGTGTAATTTTCTTTTTGACACCCACTTTCTCACCTCTCCCCGCTCTTCCATTTCTCACACTATCTCCTTTTCTTCCCAAGGGGCGATCTGGACCATCTGGGGGATGAAAACTGGACACCGTGTGTCAACAATGTCAACGGTTTCATCTCAGCCTTCCTCTTCTCCATCGAGACAGAGACCACGATCGGCTATGGGCATCGTGTCATCACCGACCAGTGTCCGGTGGGCACCATGCTCCTGCTGCTACAAGCTATACTGGGATCAATGGTCAATGCCTTCATGGTGAGTAGAGAGACTGGTGGTAAACTAACAGGGGTCGGTCATTTTAAAAATAATTGGAAATGAGGATTAATATGATATTTTAGATTAAGTAATACAAAAAATCTGATAAAGGAATTTAAATGTACAAAATCAATGATGTTAACAAGCAGCTACATACATCTTCAATTCTAAAGTTAAAGAGAAAACACAAGCAGATGATTTAAGGTCACCTGATTCGGAGACTTTCACTGATGTCCCTCAGGTCCAACATGGAATGAGTGAATGAAGGGAGTCCCAATGGTTGCTTGGTAACAGAGCATAAAGTTGATCAGCAGCGACTTCAAAGAGTACAGTAACTGAATCAAGCTTTAAAGGTGTCAAACACTGAAAAAACATTTTTAAGATTATTTCTGATTCTAATGAGTCACTCTGTTTCATGAAGGCTGAACATGAAAGTAGTCTCCTACACTTATCTCCTGCATTAACTTCTGATAGAAAACAGATGGCGAAACTCTAGGATTAGAAAAGCCTGACAGATCTACGTCACACTGTCACTTAACATTCATGGACTCACGACGGGGAAGGCTGTTGTTGGTTTAGCGTCCAGGAAACAGCAGAGAACGCCTCGGCAAGTAGAAGCTAACCGTTAGCATTAGCAGCTCCACACAGCAGAACTCCTTCAGCCGTGTGCTGTTTGTGGAGATAAAACATAAACGCTGCAGAGCAAACACAGTCAGTGGTAGAGTTGTGTTGCTGTTAGCCAATCAGAGGCAAGATGTCCAAATATCAGGAAATAAGACTCCTACCGGCTGAAGCTACTTTCTCCTCCAGCTGAATTATCTGTACTGATGCAAGTGCTTCTGGGCTTCTTTCTTCCCTCCAGTACGACTTACAAGGCATTCTTTAGTACTAGAGACCACTGCAAATGTATTGATTAAACGAGTGTTCAACACAATTTAGGTGAGCTAGGTACAAACTCAGGAAGTGACATAACATAGAAAAGCAGCCGGAATTCATAAAACGACACATCTGCTCCATCGTTCAGGGGCTTGTATAATCATCTTTAACAGCAGTAACTAAGTCTTCTACCGTATAATCACTTTCACATCTCTGGAGAGAAATCTTGGCCCAATTTTCTATACTATGCTGTTTCAGTTCATTGAGATTTGCTGACATTTATTTTTGCACAGCTCTCTCTAGGTCAGGTGAAGTGGAGGTCTAGACTTTGTCTGGATCATCGCAATCTTTTCATTTTCAGTTTTGTTCTGCTGGTTTGGGATCAATGTCTAGTTTTTTGAGCCGTGTTGGGTCCAAGCTTCAGCCATCAGAGAGCAGGAATCACGCTTGATTCTCCTACAGTTGACTCCATGATCAAGTCAGGAACCGCAAGGAGCCTAAATCATCAAAATTCCACCGCCATGCTTTACTGTTGAGGTGTTGGGTTTGATCTTCTCCAGAAGTTGAACTGCAGCTGTGCTGGTGTTAGACTTAGCTTTAAAATAACATTAAAAATCTTCTACATATTCTTAAACTAATTGTTTTAGTAATTTAGAAGGATTTCAGATTTAACTGAGTACATGCACCAACAATCCTATTTATGAATGCTCTGGTTCTGGAAACAAGCCATATTCACAACGAGAGGACATGTGGGATGTGTGCAAATTAAAACAGTTTCAGTCCGAGGTTAATTCAAGTGTTGGCGCAGCTTGAAAGCTGGAAATAGCTTTATTGAGAAATGAACGTGCTCCAGCCTGCATCAGCATCCTCTGACTGTTTAGCTGATGTGTTGGTTATAAATATTGAATTAGAAGGGCTGCTTTGAATTTTTCAACAAGCCTCTGATGCAAATACCCTCTGCTTTGTGGTTTATGAATTTTGATCACGACCCGTGTTTGTTTATCTTTCCCCTCCCTTCCTTCTGTCCAGGTTGGCTGCATGTTCGTGAAGATCTCTCAGCCCAACAAACGAGCCGAGACGCTGGTGTTCTCCAAACACGCCGTCATCTCTCTGAGAGACGACAAGCTCTGTCTGATGTTCCGGGTGGGCGACCTTCGCAGTTCCCATATCGTGGGAGCCAACATGAGGGCCAAGCTCATTAAATCCAAACAGACTCAGGAAGGTGAGACAGGTTCAGAGCCGACTGGATTTTTGACCACACTCAATGTTAATTTCACTACAATCGCATTGATTTCCGTTCTTTCCTATCGATTTGATTGTTAGTTTTTTACAGTTCTGAAATGCTCGTTTTGATTTAGGCTAATCGCAATATTATCTTTAGAATTTTTAGCTGCAAACTAATCAGTAACAAGTCTGGCTGTAGGCCTCATTAAGCACTAAAAATCTCAGCGTAACACCCATGATTTCATTTAGAAATGTGTACGCAAATAAAACAATGCAAGATTTTGTACAGTAAGCAAAAATATAAAAAGGCACAAACAAATCATTTAAAATGATTTGTGGTCTGATTTTCTGAGCTGCTTAAGCACAACCATGGGAAATGTTATGGTTCCTCTGTAAGAACATCCAATGATTGTGCTCAAATTAGCTGGTTAGTTGTGGTACATTTGCAAAATCTTTTTGAAAAATAAATCTTCAAATTTCTAATCAAATTGAAAATTGATCATTTACAATCTCCTGCTTGTTTATCTGTGCATCTCCACTGGAATAAGGATATCTGTAAAACATGGTGGAATAAAATCTGATTTCTTTACTTTGGATATGATTTGATCACCTTCCACTTCTATTGCCTTCTCCAGGTGAGTTCATCCCTCTGGACCAGACAGACATCAGCGTTGGCTTTGAGACGGGAGACGACCGCCTCTTCCTGGTCTCGCCGTTGGTGATCTCCCATGAAATTGACACCCGCTCAGCTTTCTGGGACATGTCCCAGGCCCAGCTGGAGAAGGAGGACTTTGAGATCGTGGTCATTCTGGAAGGGATGGTGGAGGCCACTGGTGAGATGAAAGATGAGAAAGAAGATATCAAAAATAGAATGTCAAAGATTAGAAAAGGAAAACAGAAAATTGTTGGGAAAGACATTTTCTTTTACATTTAAATGATTAAAATGATGACAAAAAATGAAAAGAAAGCTGCTGAAATACCTCTGATACATACAGTATGTCATTGATAATTAATAATTTCTGATTTATTTCAAGTTAAATGAAAATTCCAATCAACCGTATTTTTTACAAAAAAAAACGTGTAGAAGTATTTCTATGACACACTTCTAAATCATGGGCGAGACACTGAAGCAAACATTTTCAAATTACTTAAGATTATAAATATTGGAAATTGGAAAAATAATGTAAATTAGAGAAATCCAAGAAAGTGTGTAAATATGCCAAAACTTACCAAATGGGGCCATTTTTTATTAAATCTTATTATATCATCTATAGTTTAAAGGGACTTTACGGAGTTTTGAATTTTTATGCTCGCGATTGCCCCCTCAGGCCAAAAGCGTAACGGCAGCTTCAATAGTAGGCTCGTGCACGAGGTGCACATGCTGTACGTGCACACTCCTTAACGAAAATAACAGCTGAGACAGTCCCGTGTGTGTGTGTGTGTGTGTGTGGCACGGAGGACAGAGGAAAGGAGAACGCGCAGCTAATTAATTAAATAATTTGGTTCTGTACCTTTCTCTTCAGCTCAGCAGACAAAGGTTTAAGATGGGTCAGTCCGTCAGCTTCACAGAGCTTCCCTTCCCTTGCTTGAAAAATTGTTCCAAAATGAAAGTTGAACCCGCATCTTTTTTATCTGTGAATTCAATGCCGTTCGGCGAGCCTCAAATAAAAATTTGGGCATCTTACTATAAAAAATATGCCATTAATGTAAAAAATTAAATTCTAAATAAATTATGGTCACATCCAGAATCAAACCCAGATCTTCTGCACGAGAGTCTGGCATTTTACTGGGTGAGCTAAAGCGCCAGTGATGTCCTTTGTAACTTTTATATAATTGATGACAGCTGAAACAATGTTCAAAGAACGGTTCGGAGCGAAAATGGCTATTTTGTTGCTAATTAGCAGGAAATCTCTAGAAGAAAGTTCTACAGAAAGTAGCTAAGGGTCCTCAGAAATGTAGCTAGGTTTGTCACTAGGCGTTAGGAACAGCGACAAAGTGGCACTGCCTGTCTCTCTGCTTTTAAAGCTACTGATAGCAAATGCTACGGGCTATGCCTGAGCGTGAACGCACATGAAGCAGCCTGCTCAACCCGAGCAGCTCTCTTTTTCTGTGATTTTACAGAAAAACAGGCAATCACAGTAAAAATGCCAGGGCTCATTCTACAGGACCAGGGCATTGCATGAGAATGTATGAAGAAGAAATTTATTATTTCTATACATGTTTTGGCTGTCAAACGTCCATAATGCCCCTTTAAATACATAGTTTGTGCTTTTACTATTTTCTAATAGTTTCTCTACTTTCGTGCTATATTAAATAAAACCGCAATGTAAATTACCTTAAACTAACGCAGAGCAGTTTTCTGCTTCTCTGCCCTACTGGTTGAAAGTGGATTTACAACTGTCGTAAACATCCTTGCAACAGCCTGCTGTAGCTAGTGCTAACAACAAGCTATAGCAAACACCAGCCAACTAATAATAAAATAAACCACGACTTGCAAAGATCCACACTGTCGGAAAAAATATTATACTTTACGAGTCCAGTAACAACAAAGCCAGGTCACCATCAATCTGTGATTTTATAGCCTCCTTTAGCCCCTTCAAGTTAGTGTAGGCCACGTCGATGTTCACTCTGGGTTTAGCTCTTTGCTTTGCCTCCAAACGCATTACTCTCTTACTTTTACTTCCAGGCTCCGCCATGATGACAACAGAAAAAACAAAATTTTACTTTTTCTTTATCTTGTTCTTTTTTTTTAATTAAGAATCAGCAAACTGAAAAAGCTAAAAGCTAGCATAATAGCTAACAGCTCTAAAGCAGTAAAGAGCACCCCCTATAGGACACTTAACCACTCCACAAAACTATCATGTGCGATTTTTGGTTAGCTGCAGAGTGGTGCCAAATATGAAAGTGGTCAAGTTTCTAACTCACCAATAACTGACATCAATGTTAAAGCTCTAGCTTAAAGTTTAAAAATATATTTAGTGTTACTTAAAAATCATTATTTTTAATTGAAAATGATGCTTTTTAATTTAGTGGATTTTTGTCTTTTTCCAGGAGATTTTGTTGGGATTAGAAAACTTTAGGTTTTTTTTTTCAGTCTGCCTTTTAATGAAATAAATCCTTCTCAAATCTTGATGAATCATCA